TCTCTCTCTCTCTCTCTCTCTCTCTCTCTCTCTCTCTCTTTCTCTCTCTCTCTCTCTCTCTCTCTCCCTTTCACTTGCTCTGAAAAGCAGTGGAAAAAATATCCTCAGGTGAGGATTAAAAAATAAATAAATAAAAGGATCTATCTTCTGCACGATCCCTTTACCTGGTCCTGAGAAGGAGGGAAATAAGTGTATTCTCTCTGCTCGCTCTCCAGGGTGTCGAGGTCCTGTATCCATGGAACAGAGAACAGGAGCGGCTCACCTTCTGCTGGCTCTGCATCAGGAGTCAGGGCCTGGAGTGCTGGGGGGCTCACTGAGACAAGACCCCCGGGTGAGAGTGGGAGTTTCGGCCCAAATCTAGCAGTGCCCCAAGGTGTCCACACTGTGGAGCCCCTGGGAGCCGTCCGCGGCTCTCTGGGTGCTTCGATATACTTTGACCTTGCAGGGTAAACAGCTCCTTGGACACACAGTTCATTCAGGCCTACAGGTCATCTTGGGCATCGGGGCGACGGTGTAGGGTTTGGTCTGAGATTTGAACTGGCCATCAAGATGCCCTGCCTTCCACTGCCCTGCCTTTGGCTCCAACCTGCTGCCCGGCCCACCCTAGCCATTCCTGGGCTTGTACACCAGGGGCTGGGCAGGGGAGTGGGCTGGTGAATAGTTGAAAATGACTATTATTTCCCCCCATTCCACCAGTGTGATGTCCCTGGCGCGACATTCTGGTGGCACTACTTCATAATCTAAAAGGGTTGCCATTGCCTGTGAGTGAGCTGCAGGCCCTGCCCTGTCCCAGCACCCTGGCGTTGCCTGGCCTGCCAGCAGCTCAGCACCCACAGGCAAGGCGGCCCCAGCCTCACGACAGCCACAGGGCCACCCTCCCTAAAGAAGCACAGTCTCCTCCATTGAAATCAGTCACTAGTTGCTCCCAGCAGGTCACTTCTGGAGCCAGGCGAGTGAGGGGAGGCGCCTGCATCTGTCCTCCGTTCTTGCTGGACACTTACTGGAAACCTGAGAGGAGACAGGTTGTTCTCAGTCAGGCTGTGCCTGGGTCACTGGCTTCTCCCGGGATTGAAGGGCGAGGGGAGAAGGCTGCAGGCCACCCCCTCCCAAGCCCGGTCTCGGACAGTGCACCTCGGCGCCCTGACTCCCAGGGGCTTCGTTTACTCCCCAAGCACTGAAGGAAGAAGCTTCTCTGCCCTTTGCAAAAGTTTGGTCTCTGAGCCAGACCAGCACTCGCTCCCCAGCCCTGTGGTTTTCACGGACACTCCCACTTAATTCTCCAGGAGATTCTTTCCTTGCTCTTTGCTCCAGAACTTCCTTATACTCCAGCCTGGCCCCTCCAATCACACGGCCCCCCTGCCTGTCACCTACCGGTGTCACCTGTGACTTTGGGAAAATCATGTTAGTTCTCTGGGCCTTGCTTTCCCCATTTCCCAATACCTGGGAAAAGCAAGGTAGCTCGCATGGCTCCTGGCGTCTCGAAGTGTGGTCCACGGACCAGCATCCCTGGGGATCTCGCTAAGAAACGCTGAATCTTGGGCCCACCCAGACTCCCTGGCCCGGAATCTGCATTTCAACAAAGCCCCCTGGATTTGGTGGCGCGTTGAAGTGTGAGGAGAACTGGTGTGAGGACATGCGGTTAACCTGCTTAAAGTTTCCTATCACAATAGCAGCAAAAGGGAATTTCTGAAGATTCTTGGGCGGAGTAACGAACACAGCGTTTAAGACCCTGCAGCAGGCAGAGGGATGCGGGGGCGAGGCAGCTGCAGCCCCGGGTGTGGCCGGGCACCTGGCAGTGGGTGGGCAGTGCGGATGTGGTCTGCCTGGTGTCGCTGAGGAGGATGGGTAGTTAGCTCTCTGTGACATATTGAATGTGGGGCAGCCGGGAGGACCAGGCTGAAAGCAATTCAAGGCTACGAGCCCCTGGCCCTTCAGGTCTAATTCTGTGTGCAACTCCCCCGGCTGGGCCTCACAGTTCACCGAGCTGATCTTCATTTTAAAACATGCCTGGCTGTCCTAACTGAACCCTAGGACAGGAGGGAAGACTGGCGGGTACACCGAGCGCGTGAAGGTGATGTGTCCGTCCCTCTGCGTCTGGCTCCCAGCTCTGCTGCCTGTCGGAGACCCTGGGGGCCTTTGGGAATCCTGATGGCTGGGCCACTCCTGGGGCAGCTTAAATCAGAGTCTCCGGGGTGGGCCCAGGGCAGCCAGTGATGGGACCCACTGCTTTCCTCTCTGTTCCAAGGACTGGTGAGGGCAGGTGCCGGGACCACCAGCCGTGGGGCTGCTGACCGAGTCACCGGTCCCATGTTCCTTCTGCACCGCTGATGAGCAGTCCGGGCCCCAGGAGCACAGAGTCTGAGGCAGCTCCCACCCAGGGCTGCCGCTGGCCACAGACGCTTGGGTGCAGGGATGACCGGGGTGTGGGTGTGGCGGAGAAGGGACCCTGCAGGGCTGGGCTCAGGGGCACAATGCTCCAAGTCCCAGTTCCTCACATAGACAGGCCTCAACCAGAATAAAAGGTGTCCGTTTTAGTTCACTGTTTACTATATAAACCCCCAGTTACACGATGGGGCTGTCCGTCTACATGTAGACTTTGGGACTGTAGATTCCTGGATGGAGGCGCTGCTACAGATGAATCATTAGAGTCGCACCTCACCACGCGGGCCAGGTCTCACCCCTGAGGCCAAGCCCCGCTCACGGCTCCTCTGCCCCGGGGCTGGGTCCTGCGAGGGACTCTTCTGGACTTTACCCAGGAGAGGCTGCCCATGGGGGCAAAGGTGGAATCCGAGCCTCACAGGTGAGAGGGAGGCTGCCGAGGTCACCCAGGGCAGAGGTAGCTCTTGTGTTTAGGTCACTTCCCTCCCAGTTCTGCTCTTTTTATTCCATGGGGAAGGTTCCAGAACAAAGGAGAGAGCGAGCTGGAGGTTCCTCAGGGTGGAGATGGCGGGGTGGGGGCGGTGGGGACGTCGAGGCTCTCAGACCGAGTCTCTTCCTGGCACCAGCCCAAGAACAGGGTGTCACGGTCACGGGGGTCACACCAAGGCTCCTGTCCAGAGGGAAACACTTCCAAACTCAGGGATTGAGGAAGATTTAAAAAAACAAAACAAAACACTCTAGAAAGGATTTAAACTTATCTTCTCAGATTCTAAAGCGGTCCTTGGTAGTTAGAAGCAGCAGATTTGGCACCGTGGATGACTGACGCCTCCTCCAGGGAATATATTCCTGTCCGCGGTGCCCCTGGCAGGGATTGAAATGTTCCCCAGCTTTTCCGTGAACCCTAAATCACGCCGATTCACCTGCCCTTGCTGAGGTCTGGGTGCCGGCGGGAGGCTTATGCTAAATCACCCTCTCTGGGCTCCTGCTCCCAGGCTGATAGCCACAAATTCCCCCTGGTAAGCACCCCTGAAGAAGCCCAGACAGGCCCCTAAATCAAGAGCAGGGGGAGCCCGGGGGGAAGGCAGTGTTTGCTTTGGCTGGGAAGGTGCCCGGCTGGCCTGCGTGTTTGCCTGACAGGGAGGCCTGATAAGTGGGGTGCGCAGAAAGTGCTGCGGTGGGACCTGGGCCATCTGCCGCACGCCCAGAGAGGCTGCACCTGCCGGCTTTCCGCCAGGCCTGGCAGGAGAGCGACCCTTTGTCATCCAGTCTTCAGCTTCCTTCAGCCCCGTGGTCACTGAGAACCCAGGATTATTTTTCTTCCCTTAACAATTGAACCCTGGAACTTGCCTGTTTTGATGAATGACTTCCAGGCTGCTGCTTGTTTGGAGAACAAAGCTCCCAGCTGCAGGGAGGGCAGAGGCCATGGGACCAGCACGCACAGCAGAGGGGCTTTGCACGCAGGTCAGTGGGGAGCGCGCAGAAATCTGGGCTCTTCTGGCTCTGCCCTTGGTTCACTGGGCAAGTTATTTAACCCCTGTGTGCCTCAGTTTCCTCCTCTGTCAAAGCAGGACCATACTCTAGGCTCCGTGTACCTCACAGGGGTGTTGAAAGCATCAAATGGAATAATGTAAATAAAAGTGTAGAGCTGCTAACGTGCCGTGTAGGTTTAGTGGAAGTGTCCCAGCCTGCAGCCAGCTTTCTGCACCATCTGGGCAGTGTTGCCGGAAGGCTCCATCCTCACACAGACCTTGGGTTTCTGCTGCTTCTCTTTGGAGAGGGTTGGATGAAAAGTCTCTATCCTGTGTACAAAAGCTGAGTAAGCGTGACTTAACAATACCGATCACTCATGGACTTCCAGACGGGAGAAATGACAGTTGGTTTTTATGAACTGTTCTGGGGCGGTGCTCCCTGCCCCCAAAGCCGACTTCTTTCTCCATGTACGGCCCAGACACTGTGTCCTGTACCTCCTCTGAGAACTTCCCCCTGCAGTCGGGTCCTCTTCTCCACATCACCAATTTCCTTTCTCCTGGACCCTTCCTTTCAGTATCTAAACGGCTTCGTCACCATTTAAAACAAAACCTCAAAGCCCTCCCCCTCTGTGCCCTGCTTGCTTTAGCTGCAGCCTCATTTCTCTCCTCTCTTCACAGGTGAACTCCCAGGAGAGTCGTCTCCACTCACTGTCTCTGGCTCCTTTTTCCTCCCCCACGGCAACCCTAGGGCTTCCATTGCCCCAGTCCCGGTCTGGAAGGGCGCTGGTCCAGGGCCGCCTCGACAGGCAGACGGCCACTGGTCAGCGTTCTGCCCCGACTGACTCAACCGAAGCAGCATCGGACTCCACCGCCGTCTCCCTCGGGACATGTTCTCCTGCGACCTGCCTGAGGCCAGGCTCACTCACCCGCTGGCCCTTCTCGCCCTGGCCGAGCCTTCTCTGTCTCTGGCTGCACCTGCTAGCCTACCTCTGAATGTCACTGTGCCCAGGGATCTGTTGTCAGCAACTAGGATTTTACGCAGTGCCGCGGCTCTCCACACCATCCAGGCCTCCCGCTGAGCTCCAGATTCGAGTTCAGCTGCCTTCACACACATCGGAAACTCTGAACGGGCCACCAGAAGTCAAAGTCCTCTAGGCCCTCCCTCTCATGTCCATCCTCCCTGCCTCTCTGGTTTCAGAAAATGTCACCGCCACCCTGTTAGCTGCTCAGGTCAGAAGCCCAGGAGCACCCCTGGCTCTCCCCTCTCCCTCACGTCTCATGTCCAATCGCTGGTAAGTCCAGGCTGCCCTCGCCCTTTGCCCGAACCTTCCCAGGACCCCGATAACTGTGCTCCTCCTGGTCCTCTACAGCCCACGCCACCTCGGGCAGCCAGAGCGGGATTTCCAAAGCAGCAGTCACGTCACAGCCCACCAAGGGTTTACTTCTTCAGTCGTCCCCACCGCACCTGGAACAGAAGCCTGGCCCCTTACACAGACCCGTGCGACCTGGCCCTTGCTGCCCTGCTCGGCCCTCCAGCCCCCTCTGGCCTCCTTCCCTCCTGTGACCAAGCAAATCTCCTGCCCCTCAGGGGTGTTCATTCCTGCCACTTCTGCTTGGACCACTCACTCACTCACTCACAGGACACGTGGCTGCTCCGTCCCATTGTTCAGCTGTCAGGTTCAGGTTCTCTTCCCCAGGGAGCCCCCCCCCTTATCCAGTGAAAGGCAGTCTCCCCATTGCTCTCTTCAGCATGGCATATTCTGGCTCTTTCGTAGCACTCATCCGCACCTCGAATGATCTTATGTATCAGCTGGTGTGTTCATCAGCTTCCTCCCTCCTCCTGGAGGGTAAAGGGCACTCTGCCTTGTTCCACCTGCCAGGACCCCAGCACGGGTACAGTGCCCGGCACGCACAAGATGCCCAATAAATACAGTGTCTAATCGCCGATTGGCTGTGCAGAGCTATTCAGTGTCCGACATATGTCATTAGAGTATTTTAGGAATAGATAAGGCCTCTGAGATCACCGAATTCAAGTTCATTTTTTCCCCTCTTTCCTTTTAGACAAGAAACTGAGGATGAGAGAAAGCAAGTTGTGTGGCCAAGGTGTCACAGCAGGCTGGTGGCAGAGCCAGATGGTCACAGGTCTCAGCCAGGACCCGACCATGGTGCAGAGGTTGCTGATCCTGCCGGTGCAGAGAGAACTGTGAGCAGGCTGGCTTCCCGGTGAGGACAGCATGGCCAAGGCCACCCTTTTGTTGGGGTGCTCTGCCCATGTGCCAACCTCCTACTGTCTAAATGGCAGAGAGTTGGTCATGAAGCTGAAGGTAGGTCCCTCAGGGCAGGTGTCAGTCATGGAACGATCCAAGCCTGCCTTTCACCCGCCAAGGAGCCTGCTGACACATGGAAGCGGCGCTAAGCCTGCCTGGCGGCCCTGGATTCCTGGGACGAGGCTAGGACTGGAAGCAGGCTCGGGGCAGAGCCCTGGGGCTGTCGTGTGGTCTCTGCGGAGAGGCAGAAGAGAAGGCCTGGCCACAGCAGGTGGGCTGCTGCCCAGAGGATGTGGGGTTAGCCAGGAAGGCCGGGAAGGGCTTTTTTTCCCCCTCCTTGTTGTCTGACACTGCACACATTTCTTCTATAACTGTCCCCGTGTCCTCAGGCCTGGGACTTTGAGTGCTGTTTACATCGATAACTCATTGGCGAGAGCCACCCCCCAGCAGGAGAGNACATTTCTTCTATAACTGTCCCCGTGTCCTCAGGCCTGGGACTTTGAGTGCTGTGTACATCGATAACTCATTGGCGGGAGCCACCCCCCCAGCAGGAGATNTTTTTTCCCCCTCCTTGTTGTCTGACACTGCACACATTTCTTCTATAACTGTCCCCGTGTCCTCAGGCCTGGGACTTTGAGTGCTGTTTACATCGATAACTCATTGGCGAGAGCCACCCCCCAGCAGGAGAGCGATATTTCCAGCCAGAGATTTCACAAGTCACCAAGCCTCCTATAAGCCCCTCTTGTTTGGTGAGGACCGAGCCAAGGAGAGCTGGCTTTGGGGACAGAGGACATAGGGAGCTGACGACCTGGAGGAGGGAGAGAGGCTTTGCCAAGCAGGACGGGAGCAGCCGGGCCAACCACCCTCTTGGCTTCTCTTGGGGCTTCCGATGCTGCCTCTTGGGGTTTTCTCCAGGAGGACGCAGAGGCCGGGCACATGGAGGTGACCACAAGGCTAGTCCTGTGGCCTCAGGACCATGCAGGAAGCCCCCTGCTTCCCTCTCGCCTCGGTGCTTGCTCCAGACTCCCCCCTCCCCCTCCCCCAGGTACTGGCGAGCAGAGCGAGGGGTGGGAGGAGGCGACCTGTGGCCCCGGAGGAGGTGCACTTACATTTCTTCTGCAGGACGGCCTCTCTGGCCCTGATGAATGCCAGGATGTCCGAGTCCGTCTGGCTGTCTCCAGTGAGAGGGACGGATGACACTGGCCTCTCAGGGATGCTGGGGACAACCACATGTCACACTTTACTACACCTCATGTTTGGACTCAGTCCTTAGCTTTCCACCGTGCTTTCCACTTTCACTGACTCAATGTCACGCAGGACGCTGTGACAATAAGTTTGCCTCCTTCTCACCCCCTCCCCTCACCTGTGCAGCAGCCACGCAGAATCTTTACATGCAAATGGGTCATGTCCTCACCACCTTCCCCGTCCCCTCACTGTCACCCCCTCTTCCCTTGCCCCCAGCTTACCCAATCCAAGCCCGTTTGACCTGGGCACCCAGTTTGATGTCATATGCCTTAAGGTGGCTTCCCAGTGTGTCCCCATTCCCACCGTGGCTTAGCTAGTTGCTCCCAAGGTAGAGATAACTATTCTCCCCTCTCTCCTTAAAAACAGAACCATAATATTTAGCTAAGGAAACAGCCACGGCTAAAAACTACATTTCCCAGGTTCCTTTGCAGCTATGTTTGGTCAGGTGACCAGGTTCTGGCCGATGAGATTTGTAAGAAGAGCAGGAATCCCCCGAGAAAGGGAGGGAGGTGTGTGGCCTTCTCCCTCCTCTTTCTCCAGCCAACTCCTCCATATAAAATTCCCCCTGAGAAAAGCCAGAGCAATACACTCTCCTGGCTTTGCGAAGCCTCCACCCTCCCACCTGTCCCCCCACCCAGCAGGTGGCAGTCTCCACTCCCCCAGAGGGCAGTGAGGGTTGTATGGGGTACAGTGTCGCTCATAATCACAAACAATTTTTGTGTCAGGATTCCAGCTGCAACTCAGCCAGAGGTGCTAAAGCGGAGCCACAGTGCGGGGGTGGGAAGGCTGGGAGCTGGGCTGGGGCTGTCCCTTCTCTCTGGGGAGGGGGGGGTCTGGTGGAGGTCACCCTTGGACACCTTGGGAGAAGGGTAGGGCCTGCCAGGTGAAGGAGGGTGTACAGGCCTTCTAGTCAGAGGGCACGGAGAGCAGTGCTGGGGAGAGGAGAGGCCTGGTCCACTTTGTTCAGCCCGGAGTGAATGGCTCACAGGGCCGAGGCCGGGCTTGTCCATCCCTTCCCTCTGGGGATGCTGTGGTGGGGCCAGGGGCCTATGCTGGGACTGCCCCTGGGCTGGCTCTTCTTTCCTTTAATGGCCCCACATACATCTGTTCACAGGAGTCAGGAAGCATCTCTGCCCGCACAGGGCCCCCGGACCCTGGGAGAAATCCCGGCTCTGGGTGTCAGCATTTGTGAGAGGTCCCAGGGGATTCCAGGCACCAGAGTGGAGGCTGGCTCTGTGCTCTGTGCAGACACTGGACAAGGGGCTCCTCGGGTTGTGAAGGGAACAGAATGACTATTTCAACCCCATCCGCCCACAGCAGGGGCTGTTACAGTCATCAGAGGGAGGAAGAGACCACAGACCTGTCATCCAGGGAGGCACGAGGGCCCGTCTGCTCCCAGCTGTGCAGGATGGGGCAAGGCGAGGGCAGGATTTTCCTGGCATTCACGTCACTATAAAAACCAAACCCACAAAGGAGAAGGTATGGGAGGCGTTTTACCAAAGAGACACTCAGGGTCTATATTTAGGAGCTGTATGGACTGAATGTTTGTGTCCCCTCAAAATTAATACATTGAAGCTCTAACCCTCAATATGACAGTGTTTGAAGTGGGGTCTTTGGGAGATAATTAGGTTTAGGTGAAATTATGAGGGTGGAGCCCCCATAATGGGATTGGTGTCCTCTTATAAGATGAAGAAAGACCAGAGCCCTCTCTACCACGTGAAGGCACAGCAAGGAGGCAGCCACCTGCAACCAGGAACAGGGTTCTCACCAGCCTGATTCTCTTGACCTTGATTTGGGTTTCTTCAGCCTCCAGAACTGTGAGAAATAAATACATTTCTGTAGTTTAAGCAACCCAGTCCATGGTATTTTGTTAGGGCAGCCTGAGCTGACTAGGACAGGAGCCAAGAACCTTCTGCTGTGAATGAATGAGTCGGCTCAGGCTGTCATAACCCACCACAGAGTGGGCAGCTTGAACAACAGGAGGTCATTTCTCACAGTGCTGGAGGCTGGAAGTCTAAGGCCAGGGTGCCAGCATGGCCAAATTTCTGTGAGGGCCCTCTTCACTGTGTCCTCAGGTGGTAGAAAGAGAGTGAGCTAGCCTCGTGGCCTCTTCTAAGGGCACCAATCTCATTCATGAGGCCTCCACCCTCATGGCCTAATCACCTCCCAAAGACCCCAAGCACCATCACATTGGGGATTAGGTTTCAACGTACACATTTTTGGAGGACACATTCAGTCCATAACATTCTACAGCTGGGCCCCAGAATTCATGTCCTTCTCAAAGTACATTCCTTCCATCCTACCAGCGCTCTCCCCGCCCCTGCCAAATCTTAACTTGCTCTAGCATCAACTCCAAGTTTAAAGTCCAAAGTCTCATATGAATGTAATTTAATCAGATATGGGTGAGATTCAAGGTATTTTTTTTAAAGATATTGATTTTTAGAGAGAGAGGAACGGGGAGAGAGTAACATCTATATGAGAGTGAAACATCTATCAGCTGCCTCCTGCACAATCCCTATCAGGGATCGAGCCGGAAACCTGAGTATGCGCCCTGACTGGGAATGGAACCGGCAAACCTTCAGCGTAGGGGATGATGCCTACCACCTGAACCACACCAGCCAGGGCAGATTCGAGGTATTTTTGATTCATCCTGAGACAAAACTGCCCTCCAGCTGTGAACCTGAGCATCCAGACAAGCTACGTGCTTCTAAAATACAGTGCAGGAACAGGCACAGGACAGACATTCCCAATCCACAAGGGAGAACAGGAAAGAAGGAAGGGTGATGTGTCCGAAGCGAGCCCAAATCCTAGCAAGGCAAACTCCGTGAGATCTTAAGGCAAGAATAGTTGTCTTTAGGCCTTTGGCCCACTAGGGTTAAGGTCCAGCCTTCTGGACCCACTGGGGCAAGGTCAGCCAGGCTCTGCTGGGCAGGGGTCATGGCCTTGAGGTCCTGCTGGGTGATCCCATCCCCACAGCTTTGAGCACAGGCTGTCTGGCCTGTTGAAAGCAAGTCAGTGGTCCCTCCTTGTGAAAGGGAGGGGCAGCCCTGAAGATCTCAGAGTCGTCTTTGGGGTCATCTTCCTCTCGCCTGGAAGAACCACCTTCACAGCAGAATGGCACCATGGTCCCATCCTGTAAAGTCCAGGAAGTCCAACAGCCTGCCGTCCTTCCTTCCTCAGTCCACTGTCCGCGCTCCTGTTGGGGTGGCTGCTTCAATCCCCTGTTCACACCCACACTCATCTCCTTGTGGTTGCTTGTCACATCTCAGGTGTTCTCTTCTGAAGACACTTTATTATTTTTTGTAACATGGATAGGCTGAGGGTTCTCCAAATCTGTATATTCTAGTTCTTTTTTGCTTAATAATGTCACCTTCGAGTCATTACTGTCTTATATTTTACTATAAGCAGCCAGGAGGAGCCAAGCCTTTCCTTCCACCCTTCGCTTAGAAATCTCCTTGGCTAATATCCAATTTCATCACAAAACACTAGAACATGAACACAATTCAGCCAAGTTCTTTGTGGCTTCTTACAAGGATCTCCTCTTCTTATTATCCAATAACATGCTCCTCATTTCTGTTGGAGACCTCATCAGAATGGCCTTACCATCCATATTTCTATTAACATTCTGTGCATGATTATTTATTTATGTCATCTCTAGGAAGATTGAAGCTTTCTCTATAGCTCTTCTCTTCGCATTAAAAGTCCCTTTACAACAATCTTGGCTTCTTCTAGCGTGGACTTCAAAGCTTTCTAGCCTTTACCCATCACCTAGTTCCAAAGCTGCTTCTACATTTTTTTTTTTTGTATTTGCTATAGCAGCACCCCACTCTGGTACCAATTCCTGTCTGAGTCAGGGCAGGCTGCTGTAACAAAGTACCACAGGCCATGTGGCTTATGAACAATGGAAACTCACTTCTCAGAGTTCTGGAGGCTGGAAGTCTGAGGTCAGGGTGCCAGCATGGTTGGGTTCTGGTGAGAGCCTGCTTCTGGGTTTCAGATGCTGACTTCTCACTGTGTCCTTCCATGGAAAGAGAGTGATCCAGCCCTCTAGTCTCCTTTTATAAGGGCACTAATCTCATTCACGAGGGCTCCACCCTCATGATCTAATCATTTTCCAAAGACCCCATCTCCAAATACTATCACATTGAAGATAGAGTTTCAACATATGAATTTTGAGGGGGACGCAAACATTCAGTCCGTAACAGATGGTTTATACATTACTTTTCATGTTGAGCATTGCAGGTATTGGATATGCAAATTGAACAGAAACAACAAAGATCACAGCTATTTAGACGCCATCTGCACGCAAGGTCCTGGGAAAGAGCTCTGCAAATATTATGCCACTTAATCCTCTCAAAAACCTAGTTATTCCCATTATATACACAAGAAAACTGAGATTTAGAGAAGTTAGAGAGATCCTAAAAGTTATCCAGCTGGTACGTGGCCAAGTCTGGATCCAATCGCGACTCTGGAAGGCTTTGGAATCCATGCTCTCGGCCACGATGCTTTATTTATTTTTTATTTATTTTTATTTATTTTTTTCTTCACAATGTTCTATTAACTGGACCCGACTCTGGTGTTCTGTGGGAGACATGAGGCTTATCCCTGCCACGCCAACTGCCCTTAGGTGGCCCCAGNCTTTATTTATTTTTTATTTATTTTTATTTATTTTTTTCTTCACAATGTTTTATTAACTGGACCCGACTCTGGTGTTCTGTGGGAGACATGAGGCTTATCCCTGCCCTTAGGTGGCCCCAACTGACCAGCGCTGTGCTTCCTGAATGAGGAGTCAGTTCCAGCAGCTCACGCAGATGCAATTTTGCCCATTTTAGGAGGCTGCCTGGTGCATGGGGCTGGCCTTGGATTCTTGGTTACAAATAGCAGAACCTAGAAGCACCCCCTGGGAGATAAAGGGCCAGTGGCCAAAGATGTCCCAGATGCCAGAGACAGGATGACATCAGCTCCCTGGCTTTGGGACAGTCCTGCGTAGACACCACGCCTGAGCTGGAAGAGGCCTGAAGAGTCACCTGGTGAGAACCCTCCTTTTACAGATGGGAACACTCAGGCTGAGGTAGGCCAGGGTTAGAGACAGGTGCACCAGCTTTGCCAGGTCTGCAACAAGAGTCCAAGGAACTCTACAGGCCTGACAGCCTGCTGTCCCACCGTGAGCACAGCCCTTCCCCAGCTCCCGCCGTCGGCCCTCTCCCGTCTCTTTCAGCAGCAGGGCTCCTCTCCGTGAGCCTGCCTCCACAGGCTCAGGACAGTGGGCCGAACAAACAGGAATGGAAATCAGAGCCTGGGACCTTCCCCCTGCTGCTTATTTCTAAGCATCCCGGCCACTCTCCACCAAGTCCTGGGGGGAGCCCAGGATCTGTGTTGCTTGGTGAGGGCTGTCGCGGGCCAGAGGCAGCCACAAGGTGGCAGGCTCTGCGCGCTTCTCTTTAGGGAAGAGGGGCCGATTCTCAGGGCGCTAACTGAAGAGCTCTTGGTGCAGGTGGAGAGAAGGGGAGGAGAAAGGGCTCCTCACTCTGTAGGTCCAGGTCGGTTTGGAAGCTGTAGCAAACCTTACAAGGTCAGGTCATCGGCACACAAATGCGTCACTGACCCAATGGTTTCCCAGTGGAGCCTCTTCTAAGGTTTCATAGGTGTCAGGCTGTGCAGGGTGGGGAGCGGAGGGAAGGGGGCAGAGACGGACATGGGCAGGGCAGAAGGGTGTGGTGCCCACCCCAAGGCAGAACCCCCTGCAGGCCCCGCTGCCCGACCAGCTAGCGCAGGAGCACTGCACAAAGCGGAGGCCTGCGGCTCCTGAGGGAAACGACTCCGGTCCCCAAGCTGCTCCAGGGTCACCGGATGCCACAACTTCATTTCTGAACCCTCATGTTACAAATTACTCCTGTCCTTTCTCCCGACCAGCCAGCCTTTGACACTGAATTCATTTCCCATGTTGCATTTGTTCTGGGGAGAACATAACCAGCCGTCAGAATTAATTATCTTTCTAAATAAGGATTAATAAGCAATATTAATAACAATTAGACCTCCTGGGTTGCCAGGCAGTGTTGTGCATTTAGTGTGATCCGTCCGCGGGCCCTGAGCGTCCCGGGAAGTGATGAAACCAGGCTTCTTTCAGAACCTGAGGAGCGGAGGACCAGCCCCCAGCCTGCCCGAGTCCGTCCGCAGCAGCCACGTTGCAGCTCAGGCGCAAAGAGCCAGCCCCACTCGCTTTCTCACTCCAGCGGCTCCTCAGTGGCACTGGGACATTTATCTACTCGTCGAATAAGTGTTGGAGGGACCCTGGCGCATCTTACCCAAGAGAGAGGGAACCCTGAAGAGGGGAGCTGGCTGCCCAAGGGCCCGCTGCTGGGAAGAGCTGCGCTGAGGATTTCACACACCCTCTGTGAAAGTCTAAACCGGGGCGACTCTGGGGGTGGCCAGTGGTGATCTGATGGGCATCTGTGAAATCAAAGGTTCTGAACTGCGGGGTTAAAGATCCCTTAGCAAGCACATCCAGGGACCGTCTTAAACCGGAATACGTAGGAATGCCAAGGCCAGCACAGGCCCTGCTTCTCCGGCGAGGTGGGTGCTGGGCAGGAGCACGATTCCAAAGGTTGGTCTCCGAAGGACGTGCTGGGACACGCCGTCCAGGGCTAGCCCTTAGACCTAGGCGACGGCGGGGGAGGGCTAGTGGGCAAGCAGCAAGGAGTGGCAGCCTTGGACCATAAGAAGGTGGCAGAAGGGCAGAGAAGCACAGGGAGGAAGGCGAAGGAAACAGGGGAAAGGGAATGCAGGGTGGGAGTAAAGATAGGTAGAGGGCGGCAGTGGAGAAAGAGCGGGGAAGGAAGGGAGTGGGGGC